GCCATATAGTTGGACTGCTATTAGCCCTCACAGAGTTGTATACAGGGTGGTGACTTGCGTAACGCATCATAGGGATTTCAATGTAAAATTCATAACATGCGATTATTGGCTCCCCAAATTATTTTAGAGCAAAAATGTATTAAGGTTTTCTGTCAAAAAAATTTTTTTACGTCAATCAACCGTATTAGTTTTCAATTTTTTGCATAATAAAGACGGAAAATTGGAAAAATAAAACCCCCATCTTCTTCAATAATCTGTGATGCCATGGAATTTTATAATACAAAAACAACGCCAATATCCGTCATGCCATGGAATGTCTGCTATAAAACAAATCAAATTCTATCAAAAAGTATTATATTTATAACAGCGAATTCAACATAAAGAAAGACCATTACTAAAAACGGTTTCCTAATATAACAATTTACAATAAATGTTCGAATAAGTCACCATTAACTGCAAGACAGTAACCAAGTCGATCATAAAATCCATTTCGAACTGCTGCTAATTGATAACTGGATATCTTTTTGTTTTAGAAAATTCCATGGCATCGCAGATTATTGAAAAAGATGTGGGTTTTATTTTTCCAATTTTCCGTCTTTATATGCAAAAAACTGAAAACTAATACGGTTGATTGACGTAAAAAAATTTTTTCTACAAAAAACCTTAATACATTTTTGCTCTAAAATAATTTGGGGAGCCAATAATGGCATGTTATGAATTTTATATTGAAATCCCTATGATGCGCTACGCAAAGTCACCACCCTGTATAAGAACTCTGTGTTAGCCCTATGCTTTCAATACAAAATGGGTGGTCACGGATAGAGGGCACTGTAGTCGTGGGTATGTGAATCTCAGGGTAAACTAAAGTCGTATGAACACCACTCGGATCGCGTGAAGAGCAGCTTTCTAGTAACCGCGTAGTACGGGAAGTTTTAAATACTCTTCATTATTTGCTATACGTCCACAAATAAGAATAAGTTTGCTTTTTTTTGGGATATCAAGGCGATTAATTAATTGACGTTTCACGTTTGTTAATTTATAGGTTGACAGTCTCAAATCGTGTCTCATCGGACAAACTCGTTTACCCTGAAACTGACATACCCAGGCGATGTCCTTGACCATATTTTAGTTACAATTAGCAGTCCATGTACTATGTCTAAGGTAGATACTCGCAAACAGCATTGCCAGATTTCGGTAGAATGCTTAAACTATCGACTTTCGATCGAATCACGAATGGACAGAATCCGCTACGTTAAAGTTTATAAATCGGCCTTTAATCGTAACAATTCCATCGTTATGATAAATTGTTATTTATACAATTTATGCATAGACATCTCGGCCGCTTTCTTTCGGTGATCCAAACGGGACTGGATTGTCAAATCACGTTCTTTCGAAGTGTGCTAAAATCGTGAACAAACTGAACATACTTTGATTTAAATTCGCTCGTTCTTTCGTAAAACGTGGTGCTACAAATCACGATCTTGAAATCATGATCGCGAACGCGAAGTAGCCGAAAGAAAGCGCCTTATGAATCCACCTTAAGACACTGGCCACAGGTGTTTAATTTCTCGTAAACCAGCCTTTACTTTTCCATTGTAGCTACTACTACATGCAAGTCTACAGGAACTATTCATGATTGGAAGCATTTCGAAATTCGAACTACTATACATAACCACATTTGTCTGTACCGTTGCTTTATTTTGTAAACGAAAAATTACAAATGTATCTCTTAAGTTCTATTTGAAATGAATTCAGTTCGCAATTTCATACGATTCTCTAACAGAAATATATATCGAAAAGGATTCCATGATTTGTAAAACTTTAAACGTGCACAAAATATTTTCTTAATTTCCTGTTGCAGGAGAACCTGTTGGTATGGAAACCATTATTCTACAGACGAAACTAGTAAATTAAATATTGACTATGCAGACATTCCCATAGAAAGAATACGAAATTTTAGCATAATCGCACACGTAGATCATGGAAAAAGTACTTTGGCGGATCGAGTTCTGGAAACCACTGGTGCAATTAAACCGAGCTCTGGAAATGCGCAAGTTTTAGATAAACTGCAGGTCGAAAGAGAGAGAGGAATTACTGTGAAAGCTCAAAGCGCCTCATTATTATACAATTATAATGGCTCGGACTATTTACTAAATTTAATTGACACACCAGGTCATGTGGATTTTTCTAATGAGGAATGTATTTCAAAATCTTGTATTTTTAGTAGTAGCAATACAAATGTTACTATAGGTTTCACGGTCGCTGTCTGCATGTCAAGGTGTCATTTTATTAGTTGACGCGAACGATGGCGTTCAAGCTCAAACAGTGGCAAACTTTTATCTCGCTTTCGGAAATGATTTGATTATAATTCCAGTTTTGAATAAAATCGATTTGAAGAATGCAGACCCAGATAGAGTGGCAAAACAGTTAGAAACATTGTTTGACATTGACCCAAAAGAAGTTCTAAAGGTAAGTTTTATAATTCATCTGAAAGAACGTCAATGTTAAAAGCTTTCGTTGATATTCAAGATTGTTAACAGTTCACCAATGTTATGCAACTGTTTTCTTTCAGATCTCAGCGAAATTAGGCACTGGCATACATGAAGTACTAGAAGCTGTTATTAAAAGGCTACCACCCCCACACGTGGAAAGGGACTCATCCTTCAAAGCTCTACTCTTCGACAGTTGGTACGACCGGTATCGTGGCGTACAATCCTTAGTTTATGTCCAAAATGGACAAATAAATGTGGGAGATAATGTCACTTATTACCACACAAATAAAAATTACGAGGTTAAAATGTTATCAATATTAAAACCCGAGGAGGTGTTCGTTAAGAAATTGTAAAGTAATCACATTTTAAATGTAATGATGTGTACAATATTGAATTTTAGAGTTGCAGGACAAATCGGGGTAATATGTTGCAATATGCGTTCCAGTAAAGAAGCGCACATAGGTGATACCGTACATAAGACTGGCACACCTGTAGAGCCCTTAAAAGGATTTAAACCTGTCAAACCAATGGTGTTTGCAGGTATATATCCTGTGGACCAATCGCAGCACGTTAATTTGAGAAGTGCAATAGAAAAACTGGCTTTAAATGATTCTGCTGTTAGCATTTCCATTGACACAAGGTGAATGTTGCTTATTATTTAGAATGATCAATTATCTATTGCTAAGAAATCTATCCTTCAGATTATGCAATTCGTTAACACAAAAATACCCCCTCTTATTGCTGTGAAAAAATTTTTTTAAATTTATTGGCAAGAAGCTTTTCCAGAAATGGTAATCAGATTATCATATGTCAGATATTATTGTACGTATCTAACTGACCAAAGACATCTACACGATAAGGCATAGGTACTCGGCCCTCTTGTCAACACTAGCACAGGGTCTGCATTAGGACTATTATTTTGTGCGGGTTTGAAAAATACTAAATGGAATAGTCTACAATAAAATAAAAAGTCCATAATACAGTAGACTCTCAGTAATCCGGAAAATATCGGACTGGGTTCTGCTGGATTACATGAAATTCATTAATAAAAACGCTTAAAAAAAACAAGTGTTTTACGGTACCAGAACAACTAATAATAATTTTACTGTTTTATCATTTCTAAATGTGTCTTTTTTGCTTGATTATTGTGAGAATGTAGTTAGGGTTGTGTTTAGTCGTTGGAATATTGTAAAAGGCGAAAAAAAGCGAAAAGAAATTAGATTCGGCTTAAAAAGCACGCAACATATTGATAGCCTCTTTTTAGTCAATCTCATCTTATAGGTTGGTAAAAATGCTTAGCATTTTAAGACTACACTATAGTGAGCATATTTTGCACAAATACAGTCAACAATGAGGTACCAATTTTACGTTTGTGTCTTCAGTTTTGAAGTGTAATCTATATTCGGTGCAATACGATTTTGCACGCCCATTTTGTTCGTTTTTATTAGAGGAACCCCATAAAAATTTCACTACAATTATTCCACATATAAGAAAGTTGGCGCATGCTACCCCAACGAACGCCGGAGGAATTTTCTCAACCTCACGAAAAAGTTGCCTCAATTATGTTTTATTATTATTTATTTAAAAGGGAAAAACTTGAAATCTTGATCTTCCGCTAAACCGCCGTTGGCCTTCTGTTAAACGTTGAAATATGTTTAAGCACGATTTACTCCAAAGAATAATAAGAAGTGTATAATCTGGAGATTGGAATTAGTGATTGTATAAACAAAATAAATTAAATAAACTTTTTATAGTCCTGCTTTAGGTCAAGGTTGGCGACTAGGCTTCCTGGGACTGCTACATCTCGAAGTCTTCACGCAAAGATTACAACAAGAGTACGACGCCGAAACCATTTTAACCGCACCATCTGTAACCTACAAAGTAAAATTAAAGGAAACGAAACAAACTTTGAAAGCGGGTAACTCGGAAATGTACATTACGAATCCGATTCATTTTCCGGATCATCTAACGGTTGAAGAATATTATGAGCCTATGGTGCTAGGTAAGACTGCAAGAGCCAGATAAGTTTGCCTCACCGTGTTTTTCAGGCACAATTATTACACCTGACCGATATTTGGGTGCGGTTTTGACATTGTGTTTAGAAAAGAGAGGTGTGCAAAGAAACGCGAGTAATATCGATAATGAACGGGTGATGATGCAATTTGATTTACCTTTATCTGAGATTGTGATAGATTTTCATGACAGTCTGAAAACGATTTCCTCTGGGTATGCCAGTTTTGATTATGAGCCAACTGGATTTGTATCTACGTACTTAGTGAAGGTATGAGCTTTGCTGTTTTTCACCAACGCAATGTGAATGCTTCAATATTACAAGTAAATTAAAAAAAATTATTCACAGATGGAAGTCTATTTGAACGGTGTTGCTGTTGACGAGCTCAGCAGCATAATACATGGTAGTCGAATTGACACAATCGGACGACGAACAGTTTTAAAACTTAAGGAAATCATTCCCAGGCAGCTCGTCCAAATTGCTATTCAGGCCAAAGTGAATGGGAAGGTTATCGCTAGGGAGACATTAAAAGCGTACCGAAAGGATGTCGCTGCAAAACTTGTAAGCTTTTACGTAAACAAGGATGTATATAAATTAGTGACATTTTATAAATTTTAGTATGGCGGCGATATTACCAGAAGAATGAAATTACTTGCGCAACAAGCTGCCGGAAAGAAAAAAATGAAAATGGTTGCCAATATCTCTCTACCACGAGAGACCTTTATTGATGTACTAAAGAAATAATAAATTGATTTTACTTTTTCATGACCCTCATCTAGTTATTCTCAGTGTGACTATTTTTTGGGTCCCAAACATTCATTTCCTTACAGAAGTTCTTTTACGTAGATTTCGTCTACCTATTGTAATGATACCAGAATATTTATAGATATATATTACTTCCAAGAAAAACTATAAGTTTTGTAATTATGAACCGACTTCGACCAAATTTTAAGGATTGGTGTAACTCAAATATCTCAGTCAAGTTCGTAAATCAGCCAATTCCGCCATATTGAAACAAAATGGCGGACACAGAAATCTACCTGTACACATAATCGGCCAAGCCAAAACGAATTTTAATAATTGATGTCTTATATTTTGGATCAAAACTGGACCAGACCAGACTTAGTCTTCATGAACAACGCATTAACTGCATTAGAGTATGAAGTTAGATGGCGATGGCTTTATAATTATACAACCTTCAACAGAAGGTATAATAGTATTCTTTATTCATATATATACTATTAAGAAGCGAGTATATAATCAGGTCTTTAATGCATGCGCAACGAGTTTTAAAAGTATGACGTGAAGGATGATACCATTGACGACGTATCTTGTGAGCAGCAATGAATTTTGTAGTAACATAACTTAAACGAGTTTCAATGAATCGTTTAAAATATCAATGTGATAAAATAGAATTTTTTATTGTAATTATCATATAATTTACAAATAAAATGAAATCATATTGACGTTATAATCGAATGACTTTCTAATTAAGTGGCCTGATTATTCCTAATTCCATGATTGCCACTTGTGGTAAATTTACTTGTAAAAATCATCGTCTTTGTAAATAAAATAACTTTGGTTCAAGATAACACATCGTACCCGCTCAGTGGTTGGTTGCAGAAACAGAAAAAGTTGGTACCTGCAAAAGCCTGTTTTATAAAGAATATGAAAAGTTGTTGGCGTGGATGAATAGAAAGCATATTTCAAATAAAGTCTTAAATGCATCGATAATATGCTGGCACGAACGAAATATCAATACTGTAACTAAAAAGTGGCACAGATTTTGCAGCATACCTAAACCACGTGCGTTTGTGAAAGCTTCCAACAAAGGGTAACGATCCAAAGACATCTTTTGAATTGGCAGAAAGCGACCTGGGGAGATGATTTTTTTTATTTCAGTCCCAGATGATAGTTTCATACGCGCCAGAGATGATAGTCCATTCGCAGTCAGCGGATGTTCATAGGACGTTCACTTTATAATAAGAAAGATTTGGGAGAATTCTTTTGTCCTGAATTCCATTTTCAACTTTTTAGTTTTAAAACTTTACTATTATTGCAGATGATTTGGCCCGATCATTTGCATTGATTTTAATGGGAAGTATTTATTTTTGTAACGTGATAATCTGTACACCCATTGATCATTGATTTTTTTTAAAGATGGGCCATAGAAAGTACAATGCGATCAAAAATGAGTTGCTGTCGAGTCACCTTTGGAATTTTTGTTTACATGGGAAATCGTATACTTCACTTGAACTTCCAAAGGCTGCTCGACAGCAACTCATTTTTGATCGCCCGTTGCACACCTAGCATACGCAATATAAAGGCGTTGAGTTATTTAAAATGGGCCATAGGGAAATTTACATTGCGCAAATTGTTCTCAAATGTTGGCCTTGCGCTTAGTTATTTCACTGACAGTTCTCGATCTCATCCCTCAAACTGCATCAACGAAGCCGCTCGAAAAGGTGTTCATGTAGTACAATTTGACACAGGAGTGGGCACAGTAGCTGAGTGGTAATGCGAGCTATTCAGTGCCGAGTATCGGGTATTGTTTGGTTGCTGATAGAAAACAATTCGAGCACCGTTTGTAATCTTATACGTTTATATCTGATTTGAATTAGAAACAATTTCTACAGTATACTGGCATATATGATTCGCAAAGAAGCTATGACTGAAACAATATTGATGCAATGTAAATTTCAGTTTCCCTATGGCCCATTTTAAATAACTCGACGCCTTTACATTGTCGTATGCCCCATCGTAAAAAAACACCCTGTATGATTAGATCTATTAAACCAGAAAATGACCCAACATTTCAGAGCATTTAGGTACCTCTTTGTCGACTAAAAATTTTATAATTCTTTGTCCAACAAAACTTGAAACGTCCATAGTTCACATTTGGTGGTTTTATTAAATAAGTGAATCACGGTTTTGTTAAAAATATAAATGGTCACAGAAACTACATAACATTGAACTCGTCCACAATGAGTCCAGGAACCATCATTAGTTCATAGTTAACCTGACTTTTAGTGGACATTATGTAACCTCCCCAATGAAAATATCTTTTGCTACACAAACTAGGAGTTTTTAGTTCACAACTTAAACTTCAGTCCCCTTATCACACACACTGAGTGCACACAACAATCAAATGTTGCAACTTATCAATTGTTTAGATTCGTTAGTTTGCAACCTATCAATTGTTTACATTCGATTATTATCCTAGAATTGTACATATAAGATCCACTGAATAAGAAAAATGTTTTATTTAATTTAATGATAGGGTTCAAGTAAGAACAGACGAGAATTTCCATCAAACATTTTTTCTTTAAAATGCACCAATAAGGTTGAAGGAAAAAAGAATAGATATTTATTAATTTTATATATATATTACTATATAAAAGTTTACGAACATTTTTGAAAACAGTGAAAATAACAAATATAACCACACAAAATTGCACCTTTGACCTATAAATTTATTTGAATAAAAAGCTGAAAAAGGAACAAATTAAAAGTTAAAAAAGTACAATGAATATTTACCCATTACCTATACGGATAGCCCGAAGTTTTTGATCTAAAGATAGATAGTATTAAAGAAAAGAATACTGAAACAAGGATGACTCCAGCAATTGCTAATATTTTTTTCTTCTTTGGATCTCCTTTTCCACCCGATTCGGTTATTAATATCATACCTAAAACTATGGCGGCATCTGTGCATCATTAAGGAAAGAATTTTCTAGCTTGTGAAAACGATTATTGCATATGAAAAGGATACTCAATACCATAACAATATAAGTCTCAAGAACAAATTGTCCTTGTGAAGACCCGTGTATGTAAGCCACTTGGCCTTGTTGATTCTTGTGTGCAAACGGAGGTCCTCTTATATGATTCCACATTTGACCGGAAACCATAGTAAAACAGAAAAACAACGCCCCCGTCGCCCACATATTCTTGTTATACAAGAAGTCTAAATTATTTCTCCGCAAGTATAAAAATCCAGCTACAAGTGCAAACAGTACAACTAAAGCGGCAGTTCCCGAATAATTCGGCGGACGGAATAAACGAATCTGTAATTAAATGTAAAGTATAAATGAAAACGCTCTGTACAGTTTCCTACTTGAATGTCTGTTCTTTCGGTAATCCACTTAGCAATCGACTCGGCCGAGAAACCGATTCTTTGAATATCCATTGTATCCTGACTTTTTGGTTTGCCCTTGGGTGGGAAGTGAATGAACACTGGTGCAGTATTTAATCTCATCTACAACTTAGGTTCAAAATGAGTAGATGAGAATTTGATACAGACCAGTTGGAACACATCAGACCCTTCATCAAAATCAACTACGGCGAAGAATAATTTATTCGAATATGCTTGCGAGTACCTAAATGAATTGGCAACAATGGTGAATTCGTCACTGGCATGGCGACAAACCATGCACTGTCTTTGAGGGGCCATAGCCGTAAACATAACGACGACAGAATAGTTTCTTGGGACTGCTTTGACGAAATCTCGGAATTTATTGCCGTTAAACTTTAGTATCGACTTCTTATTTGCCATGTCTGTCAGTTGTTGAACTCTTTCGGCCATAGAAAGTCCCTGGAGGTGTTGAATAAATTAATATTGCATTAGCATGTCCCTAATATACCTGTTTGCGTGATTGACCATCAACATGGTAGAATAGAAAAATTGTGTACAGGAAAAATAATCCCAATATAAAGGGTTTCATTTTATTAAATATATACTTTGATACTTTAGCTGGTATTTGTGTTACAAGTGTGTACCTACGTGTACACGTCCACTTCGACCATTCCTCTTTAAACACACAAACCGAACCGACAGACAAACACGTCACGATCTTTGGTTAGAAATAGGATGTGTCTACCGCACCAACGAAAGGCGGTGACTAGAAATATGTTAAAACGTGTACAACAATCTTGTCAGTTTGCGATATACAGTGCGCAAATTTTAACTCTGAACGTTGAGTGACCTTCACCCAACGCTCTGAACCATTGATTATACACAGTATATAATTAATGTTTGAACATCAAATCTCTGGCATAAAAAACTCTTTATGATCAATTCTAAAATATGCAATATTGATACCCCTGTCAGTTATGCAGCACAACTTGCACACTAGATATATATTCGGTCGATTTGTTTAGCAGACTCTTAGATCATACATATATGATCTAAGAGCAAACTCAAAGTGAGATTTTCCAGTTATTTTACTAATTTGCTGTGAATTGTCAAACTTTCGAATTACTGTGTAACACAACGATAAAGAATTAGATTACTACACAACGTGGACAAAAAAATCTTACAAGAGATGTTCAAGGTGACTTCCGCTTTGTTCTAAACAATAAGCCAGACGATTTTTAAAAATTTTACAGAATTTCTTTAAAAAAAGGGATTTATTTCATTGCCGGTATAAAAATGTTGATCTTAATTTAATAAATACATTACATATTGACGTTTATTGAAAAATATTTGAAAAAGATTGCTTGCATATTTTAAGGACATTTCACGTTTGACATGGTATACTTTAAAATTTAACATTATATGCAGGAGACTTGTATGTTCAGAGTTAAAATTTACGCACTGTAGAGGCAAACTTGACAAACTCTATGCATTTTAAGAAATGGCCAATGCAGCAGGCATAGTAAGAAATGGAGCTCGAGTTCGCACTTTGCCTGCTCATTTCTAGAGATTTCGTGAAATGCTCATACATTCAGTTACCGTTATTGAAAGCCAGAAAAGTCCGATTACTTCCGATAAGATATGCCAATAAAACCGAAATTTGCCGATTTTATTTTTTTGCGTTGTGCACGGATGCACGATCCTGTTGAAACCAACAGTTTCCAACTTTTGTTTCTTTCGTACCGTACATGGTTGTATTCGTACTCTGTACAGTATGTACTTTTTTGATGGGTCACGTAGAAAAATAAAGTTGATGACGAGGTTGATGATCTCCGAATCGAAACCACAGTATATCCTTGTGACGAAACGTTGTATTAAAAATCTTTCAAGGCTGTTTTGTAGAGCTCAAAAATGGACAAAGAGAAAGTGCTTTTTTATTTTTCTGTATGTGTTCAAATAACATTAGGAAAACATACGTATGACACCGACAAATTTCGGTTTTTCTTGCACATCTTCAGAAGTAATGGAAATTTTCTGATTTTCTTTTACAGCATATTGTTTAATTTCGGAACGTTTCCATAATTTAATCATCGTCGTATTTTCTATGGTGTCCGAGATCCCCATAATAGACATCCTTAACTTGGACACGGTGTATATACGATATAACGATTTTAGTACTTTGTGGGTTGGGTTAAAAAACTTCCACTATTGGTCTTATTTAACGTAATAGTTTCGAAGCCGAAATTTATATCCTTTGCACTGGCGGCATGACGCAAACTAGAATAACACAAAATAAATCCACCCTACGATGAATTACAGGTGGTTAAATTTACTTCGCTCACGGCGCAACGCACAAAATTAAAACCCACCCCATAACGATTTACGGTTGAACGACTTAATTTCGCTGACAGCTTCGCGCTAATTGTCTAACGGTTGGACCCGAATAATCAATTTCCCAGTACTTTTTCTTTTTTATCGACACCCATTCCTGGACGGAACGGGTCTTTTTCACCAATAAAAACTATTTTTTTCGTCCAATCAGATCCTTGACATTAATAACTCAACGTCGAGTAATTTCCTACGAAGTCAGCAGTTCTCACGTTACATAGCACCCTCGATAACGACAATTGCAACATAAACAAAATCTTAGGTAAATGCCATTTTAGGAAATGAGAAAATAGATAAATCTGTAAGGAACAGCGGTAGGTAACCCTAAACATAGGTACATATTACGGTATTCAATAAACTTATCAAGCGGCCACAATGTTCTGGTAGTTGGTTTTTAAGTATGAAACAGAGCTGCAAAACACACGCCGCTCCAACGGACAATACTAACATTCTATCCAGTGCCCTGAACAGTGTGCGTTGTTTCAAAAACTATACAAACAACTTTGACGGCGTGCAAAATGTCAAGCGCAAAATTTTCATTCTCAGATACATCGGCGATTAATTCCAAGGCATTTTCAGAGCTAAAAATGAAGCACCTGAAGAAGACGTTTGAAGATCATGCACGCATCAAAAGTCAAATGTGTACCACTTGCAAACCTTGCCTAAAAGGAATTGTGGCCAATCGAATTTGGATGATATCTCTTAATATGTACGATGTGATGGGATTGTTGGATATTTGCCCGTGTGGAACGTTACATTCAGTGCGCCCATATATCAGTTACAAGTCAAAATAACGTGTACTCGACGCTTTTGTAAAAATAGTATCAGAATATATTATGGTAGAGTATGTTGTTATAAAATGAGTTGTACTAAATAGATTCAGGTAATTCATTTCTTGTGACTTTGTAATTTTTCAAGTGGTTCAAACACTAATTGCAATAATGATGATGATTTTAACACGAAACTTAAAAGTGTGGAGACTGGGAATTCAATTCCAGCAGATCAATTCGGTACCAGGAAAATGTGCGGCTTTCGTCTTGAAACTCGAAATTTAAAGTCCAATGTCATTCAAAATCTTATTAAAAATACTATGTTGGACATTGGAAATATGGTGTTTAAACTCGAAAGCATTCAACCACGGAAACCCGAAATGGCACTCAGAAAACGACGATGATGCCAAAAGAGCTGCGTTAAGCAGCAAGTACAACTGATTTATGCTACTCATCTTGACTTGTGCCATTTGCTTGCGTATTTTAAAAGAGATCCTACTATTCTTGCTACCATCCTCCTACAACCATCAGAACTTTTAGACACGACTCTTCTCCCTTGGCACCAGTCTGTTCTGTATATGATAGTAGGTAGAGTCCTTTGCACACAACAGTAATGTTGTTGTTAAGTATTAAAATTTACGAATTTGTGCAAATGGCAATAGAACATGTTATTGGCCTAGCTTCAAAAACCTTAAGTTTGGATTCGTCGTTTTTACCTTTAAATTTTGAGAGAATGTTTGCAAATTGTACAAGACATACCTACAAAGTTGGAACAAGACAGTGAGGAGAATAATAAACGGAAAATTTAGGACTTTTGAGGGTGCAGTTCGTGCACTCAAAACTGCAATGTAAGTGTATTTATCATGCATACAAACAGAGGTATCTGCATAGCAATTAGCAAGAAGGGCCATTACTGCGAAAACAAAAGCTAAGAATTGTGAAAAACCAAGCTTTTTTTACCGCCACCGACAAACCGAGGACATTGGATCTTTAAACACAGACATAGTTTCAACCGTGGTTGAATGGATGGACGGAATGGATGGTCATTTTCTCCTCTGTTGTTATCTCAATATCTGATGTTTTTCCAATTTCTCCTGAAAGGTTTAGCCTTCTCGATTCAGTGTCGCAGCGTGAGCAGTTTAGTGTAGTAGGTAGTGCGCGTTGTCCCCTCATTGGCCCATTGTTAGGAATGAGTCATATCATCGTAAATAACCATATTATTGAAATGTTTCACCGTGCATACTTATACAACTTATCATAAAACACACATTTATGAGATCTGACAAACGCGCGACTTTTTAGAAGGGGAAAGAGAGGGAAACCCACTGATATAAGTTCGTGGGGAAACATGTCTACGCTACAGTGATTTAACTTAGAATTAGAACAGTGGCGACAACGACAAGGTTAGTAGAAGCATTGAATAAGTAATAATTACTTATTCAATGGTAGAACTAACCTTGACCGCCTCTCAAGGTTAGTAGAAAGACTAACCTTGACCTAGTGTTAATCTGAATCGCGAATTATTTCATAAAAACGGGAAGTAACGGGCGATCAAAAATGAGGTGCTGTCGAGGCGTCGAGTCGCCTTTGGAAGTTCAAGTTAAAGACTAAAGTCACTATATTTAGTGACTTTATTAAAGACGATTTTTCATGTAAACAAAAATTTCACAGACGACTCGACAGCAACTCATTTTTGATCGCATAGTATACCCTTTTATGATCGCTCTGTAGAATTCGGCCTGATGAAGATTCGCTTTCAAAGTGATCCTAACCTTACATTTAACGTTTTGGGTGTTACATAATCCTTAGCTAGATCATAAAATTGTATTAACATGATCTAAGATATAATCATACATGATTTAAGCATTGTTTAATAAAGTATTTAAACAATGATCTAAGGTTACATATGATTTTATACTTAAATGACAGAAAGTTCTCGAAGCTTTTATACATTAAAATCCGAGTTCAAATCTTTCTGTTGATGTCTTAAAGAATGCGCAATAATAAATTACTATAGCTGCACTAAGTGAGAATAGTTTAATGATAATAACATGACAATTATCAGTCTTATAATTTGTTTATTAATCGGAATAGTTTGTGTTCTCGCAATTTTACTACAAGCTATTTACAACCGTTTTATTTATATAAAAGGATGCGTTGAGGCCCCTAGCATCCTTGAAGATATGATGGTTATCGATTATGCCAACAAGTCGGAGGTTTCACATTTGTTAAAAAGAGTGGCAAGTGATGGCCTAGTGACTTTGAGAAATAAACATTTCGTAACGTACACTGAAATGCTGCATTTGTTAGAAGCCGCTTTAGCATTTAAATTATCTGGAAACGTTGGAAAGGCGGCTAAGCTTTTGGATCGTGCTACGTCAGTTGCCCTACAAAGTCCTGATGTATTAAACCGGTATGGGGAATTTATCGAACATGTGCACAATGATATTGTCGCGGCAGATCTATTGTATTATAAAGCATTAACGTACTGTCCAAATCATAAAGGTGCATTGGATAATCGAAAGCGAAGTGCCCCTATAGTTGAAAAATTGGATTTAGAGATGTTGGCGTTAATTGACAAAAAACGAAATCTTTTACAGGAACGGCAAAAAACTAGCGCCGTTTACAGTGCTATGAAAAGGAAAATGTATTATTTACAGATTTACCACACCGTTGGACTTGAAGGGAATACTTTAACACTGGACCAAATAGTCTCCTTGTTAGAAACCGGACTGGCTGTCCAAGGAAAAAGTTTGATAGAGCACAATGAGATTTTGGGTGTTGAGTTGGCAATGAACTATGTCAAATTATTGATTAGGTATCCCACAATTAGTACCAAAGAAATACAGGCAGTACACAGTCGAGTTCTGGGTCATGTCGATCCTGTATCTGCTGGGAAATTACGACGAGAGCAGGTCTTTGTTGGAAGTCACGTTCCTCCAGAACCAGAAGATGTACCTTTCCTACTTGAGGGTTACGCATACTGGTTAAATTCAGATGCGGCCCACAGTTTACATCCAGTTAAGTATGCAGCGTTGGCACATTACAAATTAGTAGACATTCATCCATTCATGGATGGTAATGGTCGCATAAGTAGGTTAATTATGAATTTGGTGTTGTTGCGAACTGGATATCCACCAATATTGATATTTAAATATCAAAGAGACAAGTACTATCAAAGCTTAAACTTAGCGGATAGAGGTGATGTATGTCTATTTGTACGGTTTATTGCGGAATGTATGAAGAGTAGTTTAGAGTTATACCTTTCCAATGTTGAATATATGGCTGGCATAACGCATCTTGTGTAAGACAAATAGACTTGTTGCAGTTTGAGATCACCAGCTATTTGTATATATCATTGAATGGTTATACTTTGTAATAAATTTACTTTTTCCCATTCTTCTTTAATACGCCAGTCAATGAAGCCCAAAAAAAGGCGAATCGGAGAAATAATTGGTGTAGTCTGGGTTCTTGAACAACTAAAAGTTCTCACCACGGTGTGAGTGTGTTGGTCGGGTCTATAGTAGGTAACCATTTCCAATAACATTGAAATGCAAATTGACTTCGGTTGAAAGGTGCACAAAGTTGTAGATAGCTCGTTGATTTCTTGTTTGATAGATATAGGTCCCCTCTATTAATGAAAAGAATGGCGATGTCCAAATTTGGGCAAAATTTTCAATTAACCAAATTCGTCGCGGAAACGGCAAGACCCATTGACTTGATGTACAGGAACTATTTATAGATTTTGTAGTTGGTAGATCACTCCTTTGAAGGAAATGAGTTAAATTTTGTACTCTCATTCTCATATACCTACTTATTATACAGGGTGATTCCTATAGTACCTGCCACCGTTTGGGAGCGTGTAGGTGGTGCGTAGGGGAGTATTTTGATATAGGACACTTGGGGTCGGAAATCTAAAATAAGGGTGCCAGAGCCAAATTTACCTTCTGGAATTTCGCGCCTGTAGGTAGGCAACCCAACCGGCCGGCGGTGCACACGGAGCGATCTCAGGCGGCGATGTGTGGCTGACACTTGATCAGAATTTTGTTTAAACCCACGAAATCCCGTCTGCAACGACGCGTATCAAGTGAATAAACACTATGGCACGTTTTACTAACACGGAATACGCGGACATGCACTTCATGTACGGATTGGCAAATGGTAACGCACGAGCTGCACGACGAGCGTACGCTGAGCGGTATCCAAACCGTCAGTTACCCTGCAGACAGGTCTTTCAAGAAGTTCACTTCCGACTGTGCGAGACAGGGCAATTGCAGGTAAGCTGACGGAGGCTTAACTTTACACACAGATTCGTGATGCACATCGATACTTGGGTCATTTAAGCACCCATTTCGAAAAGTTTGTTTGTTTACACCGACCTCCTCCTATTTCGCAGCCCACTAGCGCCCGTGATCGCGATCGCCCGTTGGTAAATGCCTTAGAGGAGGATGTGTTGGAACGTTTCGAGGCAAACCCGCGTACTAGCACTCGACTTGTAGCAGATCAGGTGGGTTGTAGTCAACACACAGTGTGGAACATCGCCAACAACAACAACTTACACCCCTATAAGTTTAAGAAAGTGCAAGAGTTACGGCCGGGTGACCATGAAAGGAGGCTGGAATTCTGCAACTTAGTCGTCCAGGAGGAAGAAGCTAATCCGAACTTTCTGAGGAGCGTGCTAGTTACTGACGAGAAAGGATTCTCAAGAGAGGGGACCTTCAATCCTCGTAACAGCCACTCCTGGGCGGAGCACAATCCTCATGAAACGTTTACGCGAGGATACCAGGACAAGTTTTCTTTAAACGTTTGGGCTGGCATCCTGGGGGACAACCTACTGGGGCCTTACATCCTCCCTCCGCGTCTAAATGCCCATAATTACCTGATTTTCCTGCGCGCGAGGTGCTACCAGAACTTTTAATGGATGTTCCAGTGAACTTGTACTGGGACCACTGGTTCCAGCACGATGGGTGCCCTGCTCACTACGGGCGGCAGGTGAGGGAACACTTGGACCAAACCTATCCGGACAGATGGATCGGCCGTGGAGGTGCGGTGGAGTGGCCTGCCCGCTCGCCCGTCATCACCCCATTAGATTTTTACTTGTGGGGTGTGATGGAAGCGCACGTCTACGAGACTCCCGTCGAATCCGAGGAGGACTTAATTGCGCGCGTCGTCATGGCCGGAGAGGCTGTTCGCCAGGACATAGGAGTCTTCACGCGAGTTCGAGGGGAGTGGTTGGCTAGATGTAGGAAGTGCATTGAGAACAACGGTGGCCACGTTGAACACTTGTAAACGTTATTGCTTTTGACTGTCGTTTTCCTCCTTCCCTCCCATGTCGCTTCCTCGCGCTAACTCGCTCTGCATCGCTCCGCGCGAAACGTCGGTCGGTTGGGTTGCCTACATACAGGCGTGAAATTCCAGAAGATAAATTTGGTTCTGGCGCCCTTATTTTGGATTTCCGACCCCAAGTGTCCTATATGAAAAGACTTCCCCTAGGCACCCCCTATACGCTCCCAAACGGTGGCAGGTACTATAGGAATCACCCTGTATATTAGGTACTTATTTCGGTTAAGCTGGCAGAGCAAAATTTTCAATTATTCAACAATTTCGTCGAAGAAACAGCAAAAACACATTGACTTATTAATGCACAAGAACTAGATTTTGTCATTGAATAAAAAATTAAGATAATAATAATAATATGTATTAATTCCCAAGACAAATTTTGAATTGTATAGGATACGTCAGAAACACAAAATACAATTTAAAAATGTTGGTCAACACAATACAATGGACAAAATAAAAGAAAGAATGGAATATAAATTTTACTAGAGATCCGCAATTTTTATCAATACAATTTAGAAATTCATCAATGTAAGTAGTGTATGGTGCATTGACTAGAAGAAAATTTTCCCACATAGCAGACCTATATACATTGCATATAACATGCAAGATGTTCAATAGGATATTCTATATGTATGTTAAACATTCAGAATGAATTTTCTATAGATATTCCTCTAACATTCGTGAAGTTTACTAGCATCTATACCTACATAAATAAATTCTTTTCACTGAGTTAAGCTTTTTGTTTATTGAGTCTCCTAGTATCAGGGACCCGGACCGAACCGAAAAAGAACCGAAAACCGGACCGAAACCGGTATTTTTTTCAGGACCGAAAATCGAACCGAAACCGTTATTCCTTCAGAAATGGAAACGTATTGAGAACCGGAACCCATATTACTTTTTTCGGTTCTTTTCGGTTTTTTACGGCAATCACGTCCTGAAAATTGTAAAATATTACTCTATGATTGCCATCGGTGGATTATAAATTTTTAATAAGGTGTCGAAATTGAAGGCATTACGGGTGGCGGTGGCGGTAATTTAGCCACTACTTAAAAAAATAAAAACGGAGGGGCGAGGTTTTAGAAAATAAAATTTTCTGTTTTTTAGTAATAAATTAAGTGTAAATACATATTTCCTTCTTCCTCCTTTATTCCCCTTGTCGTTATAAATCTTCACACCTATTAATTAATTAACAAATCACGTTGTTATAATGAATTTTTTTAATGCCAAACTTGCTCAAAAACTAGAACCGAAAATAACCGTTATGAACCGAAAAGAATGCGCAGAACCGAACCGTTATTTCCTTTTAGAACCGGAACCGGACCGGAACCGTTATAAATATTTTCGCTTAAAAATAATCAGAACCGATATTTCATTTGGGTCCGAGTCCCTGCCTAGTATACAATGAAAAATGTGCTTAAGAAATTATTATTGTTTTATTTAACACTGTAGTCTTGAGTCATCTTGATTGTGTTCTTGTTCAACACTATAATAGCGCGAGTTCATAACAAATAGGTATTGCTAACATACCTGCCATTCTTGTCCTTATATTAATTCCCATCCAGTCTTTACATTTCACTACCACATATTTGCAATTTTAGGTCATGCACACCCGAAATAAAAATCATTACTTTCACTGTCCAAATTAGATAAACAAACTCATTATAAGCTCGCGGAATAACACTCCTGATTTTAGAAAAATAAACTGTATTTGCAGTCGCCGTAATTCACAGAAAATTAGACCTTCACGTTTAGTAACGTCGGTAATACAGAAAACGCATGTATCTAATCCAAAACGTATATACATACCATATAATCCCATGTATATACATAGAAAATCCTCGTGAGGAGGTATAAGATTTATACATAAAAGATACATACAATGTGTGTGTCTATACATCCAATAGCACATCCAAAATGTATATTTATAGAATATCCATACTGGACATAAAATACATATGTCTATAATGAATATACATAGTATATATACATAATGATGGACAGGATATTCCCTGTACATTATGGATTTAAAATGTATATACATAAGATATCGAATGCTATGTGGGTTTTAAAGAAGTTTTAAAGCACTTTATTGTTCCCTGACTTCTATAAGTGTACTTGGAAGAGCATTAAATAATTTAATGCTCATTGAGGCTGGGAGAATTATGGGCAAGTTTAATAAGCCTTGTTACTACGCTCACTGTATTTATTTTTAATTTCCTTTTTTCCAGTAATTTAAGTATAAGTAATTACCTTTTGTATAATGTGAATTGTACACAAAACTTTAATTTTTTGGGGCCTCTCCCGGTAAGACTAAATAAATAAATAAAGGGGCGATAAATTGTTGTTTATTGCGCGTGTTGTAATTATTACCTTAAGGCTGGACAGTACACCCGTTCCGTTGCCCGAAAACGCGTGATTTCGTTCCACGATATCTTAATTCTGAGTGAAGTTGAAGAAGGGGTCGAATATTCCTGTGAAAGCTAGACAATAACGCCGGGGTTTACTAAAATGTTTTAAAATAATCTTTTTTTTAAGGGCAACGTCGAGGGCTGTTAGGGTGTCATATTTTGGAAAAGAAAAAAGGAAATAAATTTTCCTGGCGTTATTGCCTAGATATTAAGTTTACGAACGTATCTTAATTTTGGAAATTGTTCCAACTTCATTTATAGATAAGTTATCTTGGAAAAACAACTTAAAAGTTTTCCTCAAAAGCGCGAAAAGATAGCTTCCGCCGCGTGGCTGGTTTTATACAGATAGAAAATGTGCATTATAATTGGACTAAGTTTATGTTTTTACCATCGAACACAAATTAATATTATAAATAACCAAATTTGGGGATTGACAATAGGCAACTTTACATACTCCGTTCTGTATGTACAACTGTCCAGCCTTAAACTACAACGCTACAACGTGACCCTCAAATTCTACCCCATTCTACTAACCTATCCCTTGGAGTGTTATTAAACCT